TCGGTGGAAAACCCATCATATTTGTCACAATCTGATCCACTCGACTCCACCATATCAACAGCATAAATCATTCGAATCGCACATTGAATTATCTAGCTTTGCAGATTTTCAAGAGTGTTTTGTCCGGGAAGCAAAGCCTCATTGCGACGTCCCTAACATTTCTAGCATTTAATTTTAATGCATGGTCACGCTGGTCCCTCTAGTGAGATCAACCGGCGATACAGCTGCCGTCGGTTAAGCTCCAAAGCACCACCTTCGAACTGGTGTTCTTCTTTCTTTTTCCCTTAAAACCAGAGTTCTCCTGCCTCTTGTTTGATCTGTAGCTGTTGTTGTTGCGCCACGAGCCCTTGCTGCTACGTTGGAGGACACAACCCTGCTTACACCGTTGTTCCCCTCGATGGCTCTCCACTGTCCTCTTCATGCCGACTCRCTCTTCWGTACTTTCATGGCTCTCAAGGAAAATCAGGTGGTGATGAAACCGATTGCTCTTCCATCACCATTCACCACCGCCCACYCCGTCGTGTTGTCGGAGCTCAACTCCACCATCGAGTGCACTGTCTRAGCGTCTCTGCCRAGTCAACAAATCAACATCTTCTTCTCTACTCCACCGAAAATACACGATACCCATCAAAAGTGCTAATATTCCAAAAACCTAAATTCAATATGACAATGTTCTAAATGAGAAAATTGTATCATTCAATTTATGAGAGTTGGTCTAACGAAAATAAGCATGATATTGACGAAGATAAGCATAATATTGGAATCACCTTCTTAAACTGTTACTTCCAATCTTTTATGATTCCCCTGTTTGGTTATTTTGAATTCATAACTAAATTAGACAGAAAAACTATAGCCATGTTTATAATATTAGAATAAGAATATATCAAKTTAATCTAATATTAGCATGACAAAACAAAGAGATCAAAGGAACCACCTTTTAAAAGTTTTTGCTTTGATCCCTTTCCTTACTTTGTTTCGAAACCTTGTTCTCCCTAACCTTAAAAAAATAGAAAATCACAAAATTATAGGAGTGTATTAAAAGAAAAAGATAACAGGAACAAATGAAATTCATGGAAGAGAAGCATAGAAATTTCACATGGATTATGTTAACTACTAATTAGAACATTAAGAACTTAAGAGAATACATAAAAAAACCATGAGAAACATAATAGGAAGATAAGAGAATATGAAGCACAAACCTATAATTTGCTACACGAAGAATGCGGGCTCTTATCTAGGATGTGTTATCGGTTTTTAAGCTGCTGCAAGACGAAGTCAAAAARATGTCAGGATCGTTGAAAAAATAAGAMCATKTGATTATTAGAAAACATGATAACAAAAAYGTAGTAACAAAATTCATAGATGGATTAGTGCTCAAACATGTGAGAAAAATAAAAATAAAATTGCATTAACAATTGCAGTAACTAAATATAAACAACAAACATAGAGAAACAGAGAAGAACAAATCAAACATACAAAGACAAAATCTAACGTAGCGGCTAGGGTTTTTATAAAATTTATAGCAAAATCAATGAATATCTAAAAATAAGATAATTATATTAGTAAAATGGAAAGTAGTAATTAAAAATTTCTTATAGTAGATTTTTATGACTATGACTTATGTTTTTTGTTCATATCATAAATATCTTAAATCTAAATGATTCTTCTAGTGTTTCTCTTAATATGAAGATAAAGCAAAAGTAACAACAATATTAAGTACAATAAAGTATTAAGGCGCCTTACCAAATATTATAAGTGTGGGATTAAAGTGTCCTGCTTCTACTTATTTCACTGCTCTATGATTCCATTTTGTTAGATTGGTATTGTATTGAAGAAGCTAACTAATTGAACAACCTCCACGACATAAAAATCAAGAACACATAAAAAAAACAATTAAGTAAGAACATATTAATAGAATAAAATACATACCCGAAATCATAATGCATCCGGTGATGTTGGAATAACACAAACGAAACAAAATCTTCCTGCAAAAAGTAAGAAAACATGTATATTGCATCAGAATAATTAATTAAAATATGTTCACTGACGACACATTTAGTCATCTTGCAATCTAATTCTCACCATTTCAACAATCCAAGAACTCCATCAAATTCATCTACAGAGAGATGGGAAATTTACAAACTTGGAAACTTTTTTTTGTTCTCATGAAATGTGTTTAAAGTCTATGTTTTTTTAGCTAACTTGCCTTCCAATGGAGATTAACAACATTTTCAACAACCTTGGCGTTCTCATACGCAAGCTTCGAAGCCATCACACACAAATCCATAAGCCCATGACTTCCCGGTTCGAGCCTAACGCTTCCTGAAGAATCCGAATTGACCAAATCCATGCTCTCCAAGTGTTCGARGAAATTCCAACCTTTATACAGATCAATTCTCCCATCAAGTTGTCAATTGTACTAACAAARGTCACAGTGCCTCTTTRTGGTACCACAACTTTCGCTGCAAASACAATTAAAAATCATCTAAACTCATAAAAATGCCATTTTTTTTTCAATCAAAGTTTGAAACTTTATCAGTACATTGAATGAACTCAAAAAGCAAACTGAAGAAGCCACCATTTGCAGAGAAGAGATTGAGTAAAAAGTCAACGATGAAACATGTGTATTCCATAGGCGTACAGTGAAGTCCGATGTACGGACCAGAATCGAAACCACGATTACCCAACGGTGATCTTCGGCTTCTTCATCTATAACCATCGAGCTCCTACTGATGTACTCAACCGATTCCAGGAACTTTTCTTTGCTCGAGACACACATAAGCCGATGACAATATCAACTAAACATCATAACACGTATTATATCAACTAAACTTATGATATGCTTTAATTTATCGGAAGAGAATGCAAACAAAAAAGTAGAGAAAACGTAAAAATAAGGAAGAAAAATTGAAAATCTAATATTGGAAGAAAACAGAAAGTCTTACGAAAGGATTATATATAAGAATTATGGAGGTATCAAATAGGGTTTCCCAAAACCGACTAATGAACATGGGCTACAATAATGTTTTGGGCCAAACCAAATTATTTTGGATGAACAAAATATGGCTCATGAAAATTTGATGGCAAGGGGTGTAATTTCGATATTCATTAAGGGTATTTTCCACACGTCAGGTCTGAGAGAAGTTCTCACGATGCCACATAGGATTTTCGACTTCGCAAATATAAGTATAGATAATGGGAAGAGAGTAGAACAACAAAGAATAAACTAAAGATGGCCACGGAGACGAGGAAAAAAAACAGAAAAAGTTAAAGACAAAAACAATAAAGGCATGAAAGAAAAAAAGATGATGGAAAGAAAACTTAAAGACCGAAAATAGTAAAAAGAAAAAGAAAC